TGGTTCTCGAAAAGTTTCTGGTTTTCAGCCACTTGTTGAATCAAAAGTACCCGATGAAGTAAATTTGGGGCAATGTGCACATGCTCCTGTCAAAAGAAACAAGTTGTTTCCCTCTTCGCTTTTAAAACCAAAAGTAAGAGAATTTATCATTCACCCACAGCTTTGTTTTAAAAAAGTTGTGACACTTGCTTATCATTTTCAGGAACATGTGTCAACTATTGTTGGTGCTTTGAAAGCAAGACAATTCTGTGGAAGAAGCAGTGCAGAGAGAGATGACTTTGATGCAGTAACTATGGTTGAGGTTTTTCAGCTTACAAAATAAAATTTACTTTTTCATTTTCTAATCTTTTATCTGTTTTTCTTAGTTGTCTGCTGCATCATCAACTACCGAAACTGCTATTGTTTCCCCTTTAAAGATCAAATTACAGCCATCATCCAAGTGCTTGAATGAAGCAAGAGATTTTGATGGTGTACGTTAATTAATATCAGTACAGTTCTCTTCACCAAATTTATATTTTTGCATTAGTTATCATCTTTCTATTTACTCCCTAGTTTTCTTCAGCATCATCAGCAACTGACACAGCTGTTGTATCTCCCATCAAAATTAAATTGCAGTCCTCATGTACTACTGTGACTGCAACATTTGATCATGATTATTGTTCTTCCACTCTGGTCAGCACTTTAGAACGGAGATTAACCTGGCTTATTGAGGTAAGTTTATTTTACACTAATCTTGATTGACCTGCACAAAGGTTCCGGCTTCTGAGGCTGTAACACCATTGAAAATTAAGTGGAAGCCCAGAGATAGGCCCAAAGAAAATTTAGAGGAATCAGAACATGATTATTTTTTGGTGAAGAAGCAGATAACAATTCCTGTAAGCATGGCAAATTTATCTAATTTCAGTACCTTTAAATGTATGCTTGGGTTTTATAGAAAAAAGTTGAATTTATATTTCAGGATGTAGTGGAAGAGACTCCTTATATAGAGAATATTGTGAGTGAAACTGATTTATTGAACTTCCCTTTTCCCTCTTTTTTTTCCTGTCTGTAAATGCAGTGAGCCAGTATTGCTTATCTTGCAGGAGAATGAGGCATCCGGTATCGAAATATCTGACACACCTCCCTCTGATCCGTTTGTTGTTGTTGAAGTGACTGCCACAGAAGTTCCTGAGGCCAATTTGCCTTATCCTGAATTGAAGAGAAATAATATTCATCAGCTTAGAACATGGCTAAAGTTCCGCGGTATTCCCACGGGTGGCAACAAAGGGGAGCTCTTGAAAAAGTAATCATGTGAAAGCTATCTGAATTCGCTTTAAAATGTTCTCGGTGGTCATGTCACTTATTAGAGATTATTTCTTAATTTCAGAGTTGAAAATTGCATAGCTCTGAATAAACATCTTGTCTTGGACCCTAAGGCAGGGGGTGGAGTGTTTTACGAAAAAAAGAAAGACCAATTGATGCAATCACAGGTACTTCAATCATAATAATAATACTAAAATTAATTCATATCTTTTATGTAACTAATACCACAAATTCTCTCTGATAGGACCCAAATCGCATCGACGAGGTGGACCTTTTTTGCTGTGAGGGCTGGGACACCTTCCCAAGTAGGGACATGCCAGCCAGCTTTAATTTTGGAAGCATCTTCCACTATCTTGAAGAGACAATGCCTCAACTTGGTGATATCCTTAGGCAGACTGAAGATAGAGAAAGTGATAGAGAGTCTGGTGATGAAGCCTGTGATATTGTAGAAGAGGAAATTGTGGTGCTCCAGGACCCATTTGAGGATGATGAGAAAGCAGAGATAAAATGTAGCAAAAAGCTGCGCAGAGGGTTACTGTATGTCAAAAGTGGACATGTCCGCAACATTCAGGACAACTTACCTGGTCGCATACATTTATACAAAGCTCAAGTTAGAGCATCAATGAGGGAGAAAGCCTACATGGTAAAAGTGGCACTATCACAAGTTTCAGGTAGTATCGTGAAGTGTATCTGTGACCAGGCATGCCCACAGAGGGCTTTAGGAAGGTGCAGTCATATCAGTGCCTTATTATTCTCCCTCCTGATACATAAGAATTTGAATGGGCCAGGAGGTAAGTTGTTGGTTTGGTTAATACAGGACATAGCAGGCAAGTAATTAGAATTTTAATTGTGACATGTGAAGCTTTATTTAAAATATTTGCACACTCACCTCCTTTTTTAAAATGTGTACTCATTAGTGGAGAGATGGGGGTTGTAGTTATTTTTGAACTAAACACTTGCGTACAGTTAGGTAAGATGACATTAATTATTTGTTTTACGTGATTGACAACAATACATCTATGTAACAGGTTTCAAGAAAAGTCTTCCAACAAATTGGTGAGTTTTGTCATTATGCATTTGGGGGTTGGTCATTTCCATCTACATCTCATGTAAAATGCATTTTCTTCATGCATATAAAAATTACAAAATTATACCTCATTGAGTAAAGGTACAGAACAAGGTTGCCGCATCATTTCCAACTTTTGGAACACACAATCGTCATGATTTCCATACTAATACATTTTGCTCATGAGACCTATCACTCTTCAGTCTCCTTTACAACGGAATCATTTCCTTGCCCTTCATGAATTTGTCCTGGATCATCCAAGGTTTCTGATTGTACATCACTTACTACAAATCTCTTGTCATGAATCCGGCTTGAACCAAAGTTTCGCAGGTAAGCTGCAATGTAGACGAGGTTATCCACAACTGGCAACAGCTTAAAAGGCAAAACACCCTTTAGAAGCCTATTATCTTTGATGTCTGCAATTGCATGCTCTGTATATATCCGAGCAGATGCAATAGCTTTGGTCAAAATTTCCTCTTCCTTGGTGAAGTTTCGACGTTCGCCCAAAGTGGGAGGCTTATAAAATTCACAACCTATTTCCTGTAGTTCAGCTGTCAGCTCATATCCTCGATCAGTCATTACCCCATCTCCCTTCTGCAGTCTACTGAGCAAGTTGCTATTCACAATAACACCTTTGTCAGACATGGAGCCCTCCATTCCGTCACTGCAAAATACTGTGGCACAATTGCATGAAATGCCCACTGAAAATATAATCACATTGCAACCTTTGTAAGAGGAATAGGTATTTCCTTGCTGTTCAAAATTGCTAGGTGCTTCTATGAAGATTGACAGCCCATCCAAAAGAATTCTTAAATTCTTAAAATGTTTCATTTTTTGAGGCTTGTATTTGCGCTGCTCAGCAGCTGTGGGAAACATGTCATCCTCCATCGATTTGAATGTCAAATACAACAATCTTGTCATGATGTAGCATACGTCATGGACTAAAGTATGTCCAATTCCAAACATTTCCGCTAATTCTTCAAGGGGTAATCCTCTCCTTAGCCTCAACAGAAACATGAACAGTTTATCCTCACTTGTTAGTTTTTGAGGTCTAATTTTCTTCGGAGTAGAGCCAGTATACTTCCTTTTCAAAGTCGATATAGTTTCATGACCACCAATTAAGTCAAATAGGGTGATGAAATCTTCTACATCCAAACCCGTGAAGAACTTGAACTTGGGAGAACATTTGCATGTTTCATAAGAATAGTAAGGGATTGTTTGTACTCCTCGATCAATCATACATTTTGACTGTAATAGACCAAGTAAAATTAGCAAGGTTTTTAGTCTGAGAAAACATAAAAACATACTGTACAATAGGCACTACTTACTTCTGTCTGAACACCTTCATTACAAGTTCTTTGGGATTCAACCATGTTTTCTTGATCACCCATATCTCTATTAGGTTGTGGTGGAGGTAATGCTGACACATCAGGATAGGAGAGTATCTGAAATGAAGGACTGCAAGGATTAGTGGGGATGTGAAAAAGATCAATATATACAGGCGGTTATTATTGATACTTTTAGGGTGCTCTCGCAATGCCTTTTACTTCGCTGGTTTTCTAGACATTATTCTCATAGACAAGGTGGAATTATTGTTAGGGCTCAAGTCGTTCAGGAAGGAGAAGTGTAATAATATCTAAAAGAACCCAACTGATGACCAAATAATACAAGTTTTTATTTAAAAGAATTAGTAATAATAATGTTATACTTAGTTTAGGAATCAAAGCCATAACTTAGCAATCCCAGCCAATCAAATTTGTATTATTTGGTCCTCAGTTGGGTACTATAAGATTGTACTACACCTTTCCTTTCTGCATAACTTGAACTCTAACAGTAAATCCACCTTGTTTCTGAGAATCATGTCTAGAAAACCAGCAAAGTCAAAGGCATTAGTATTAGTACCCTCTGTATTTTTCAGTTGTTTGATAGGCCTCTTAACTTCCAGACCTTTTTTAAATGAAAATATTTTTGTTATTGTAGACTATCCTAGCATTCTTTTTCCATGAATTTTCATACTGTAGTTAAGTTTTTGTTTTCTGTGCTAATATTTTTTTCCCATACAGCTGTGACCTGTACGTCAAAGCCTTGCACCTGGAATAGAGGCTCTCTGAAGCATAATCCATCTCGAGCCAACCAGCGTCAGTATGACTCTTTGAAAATGAATGTGGTTCGTCGTGCTAACTTTGATCCAAGAGCCACAAAATTTCAAATGGGTCCGACTACATTACAGCGTAATAACTTTCTGCTACGTCTTGGTGAAGTAAAACCCTCCACTCAGCCGTGCCTTTTCCAATCTGTCATGTCTCTCAAGTATGAAGATTTTGATTATGATGACGAGGATTTACAGTTGTTTAAATGGCACAGGAGAGTAATGTACAATGCTCTTAAGCAGCAGCTTTCTATACTCAAGCCAACAGCGGAACATGTAGGATCCTTTGAAGTTGCTGAAACTGAAGGACAAAGTTCTACTACAGCATGGGCCCGTATTCGATCCTTGAACTGCTCAGCACAACCCAGTAGACAAGTGGATAAATTTGAAAGTGAGAGCTCCAAGAAGAATTTCCTCAGAAAACATTTGTGGGGATTAGATAAAGTGACAACCAAGGCTATGGTCTATGGAAATACGCATGAGAAAGATGCCAGAACAGCTTACAAAGCCAAGCAGGTAGCACTAGATCCAACAGCAGATGTGCAAACGAAAGGATTAATGCTACATACAGAATATGTTGGTTTAGCGTGCAGCCCAGATGGTATTAAAACTTCAAAAGTAGCGTATTCCAAGGACAAGCTATTAGAGATTAAATGCTTGTACTCAATGAGGTCAAAGGATCCTAATCAGTTTGATACAATTTTGCCCCCCAAAAAATTAAGTTCCTTCTGCCTGACAAGAGATATCAACGGGGTGGCAAAGCTTAAGGAAAATCATCCCTACTACGACCAGGTACAATTTTCAATGGGTCTGTTGAATCTGCAGGAATGTGATCTGTTTCTGTGGACAGAGGTAAGTTCAATCACAGTTCAAGTTCCATTCCATGAAGAACGATGGCTGCAACTAAAAGAAAGCTCAACCAAATTCCACTGGGAATACTTGATGCCTGACTACCTGGCTAAAAGAACTCCCTTTGGCCTGAACCCCCTCAAACTTTCATGATGCACTACATATGAGACTTCTTAAAATTTAATTCAAATACCTTCATTCCATGTGTTCCCCGATTGGGCTTGATTATTTGCTTGTGATTTATTTTGACCTGCTGTAAAAAGTGGGTATTAAGATTATTGTAATGTCTGTAACCTTCTGGGTAAACTCACTTTTTCTTTTACATATTTTACTTACTTTTTTTACTTTAGTTTCATACAGTACCATTACACTGGAGTTGGTGTAGAAGTCAACTGTGGAAAGCATTTGGGGAGAAACCAATGTGATCTACAAGTGCAACAAGTTTCAAGTAATGCATGTCATGTCTGGTCTTTTATATTGAAAACTGAATAAATCATCAAAGAAATATTGGGACAGTTCTTACTTGAGTGTCATCAAACCTCCTAAACTTATAATCAGGGCAGTTGGTTATAATGAAACAACTCCTCTGAACACCTTTGGGGTCTACAATCAAACATTTAAGTGACAGCTTTGTACCCCTGATAGCTAGTTCAAAGGGTAACTGGGATTGTAGAGTACAGCTGAAAAAATATACATTCAACATAAATAGAATACATGTAATAGCAACGTTAAAAAAATGTAAGGTATCTAAAAAAATATTAACTTTTCCATATGAACAATCAAACACTTTGGCAATTCGACAGTTTTCACATTCACTTGTGCTTGGTTTTTCTTACAATGTGGACAAACTTCTTCAATGGAGTCAAACAAGGTCTTCACGATAGCATTCTGCAAATTAGGTAGTGACTTCCTTTTAAACTCTACAACACTCTTCACCTGGTCCTCTTCCACAGAGCCACAGGAGGGACATGAGACTAAAAGAATACCAAAGAATTGGGTTAATTGGATTCAAGTTAAAGTAACACTACATGCTGCAAAGATAATATTCAACTAACCATCAGTCTTCACTAAATATTTCCAGATTTTAGCAACAGGTGATGAGTCAAGATCTAAAGCGGAACTGTAACCTGCATCAGCATATTCCAATCTAATCAGGTTGACAAAGACAGTCATGACAATTAAAGGACTGTTCTGACGCTCTGGACTCATATGACATGATGCACCTGCAAAAGAAAAAATGCAACGTGGATAGAGCTACTGTAAATTGAATTGTCAAATGTAAATAATTCCAAGACACCTAACACTTACTGTACCACTTGGCAATCAGAGGAGCAGGGTCAGACAGCTTTTTGTCACATAAGTCTCGGTAGATATTTTTCAAACAGCATATTATGCATTGATCACGGATTCCACAATTGTTTTTATGATGTGCGTCAGAACACAGGAATTCCAAAAAATGGGCGCAGTGGAGCAAAGCCTACAACATGGAATATGTGACACAGTTCGAACAACTTCCAAGCTAAGTTACTTGACCAAACAAAATATTATTTACTTACCTGAACAGTAACAAGCACATGTGATTTCCCATGTACATTCAAAAGACCACCATCAGCATGGCTTGGGGCGTTGTCCGGTTCCATGGTGCCTGTTGGGGAACAAGAGAGAATGTTTGTGCGATCAGGAAGACATGAACATTTCAGGAAATGAGTAAATCACAGAAAGCTACAAAAAAATGTGGTGCTCGGTGTACGCAAAATACGCGAGAGGTGGTGGGAGCCACATGGAAATGCAAAGGATGACTCTGATGTAGTCTGATGCTCTAGGCATAGATCAGTAATACTGAAAATGACATCAGAATGTGATTACCAGTTGTAATTAACCTCCAAATGCTTCGCAGACTCAATGGTGTCTCATTAATTAATGTGTTTTAAGGTGACATCACGTAAATCATGAATTTAAGAGAAAACAGTTTACTGTTGCAGGGGTTATGTTGCCGACAAAGGCTCACATTCAACACATCTCACATATTTCACTTTTACCATCTATTAAAATACGTCCCAAATGATTTTTAACACATCTTATCATAATTAGAAATTACTCACCGGTTTAAAATATATCTTACACTTTAATATAAAAGTACGTTGAAACCGGGGAATAAACACCTAGCGCGTCGATAGATTTCTCATATCGCCCCCAACCACCCACCACCGCTCTCCCATACCCCCACCCCTGACTTTTGTGATTCTTGTGTTCTTCTTACTTCCGTTACGCGGTTGAGCGGAATGGCCTATTGCATACAAGGTTTTTTTGTTTTTCTATCTACTGCCAGCTAAGTAAACATGTTTAGAGAACAACAAGTTAAGTGTTCATTGATGAGGAAGC